TGATTAACTGCATATAAATGTTGTACACATCACTCACGTTAGTTTTTAGAACACAGAATGGCCATATACAGTGGGTACCATTAACACTCTTCATCTTTAAATTGAGAGATGAAGGCCCAGAAAGGTTATACAACTTGCCCAAGCTCCACAGCCAGCACCCACAGATGCCTGCCTGTCATCCCACGCTCTGCTCTCTCGCCTGCCTCCCCTTGGTTCTTTGCACCTCCTTTAGGGGAAAGTTAACCATGTCTTCACTTCAGAAAATCCTCTACGGCTCCAGCTTCTCTGGGAAGAGAGGGAGAGACATTAGAGTTCTCTCCCGCCTGGGGAGTCGGGCAGGGCCTCTGTTCAGGAGGATTTCACCTTGAGGCAGCAGGGAACAGTGTGGGGAGACAGTTACAGTGCAGAGCTGCCTGCTCTGTAGAACAGAGGCCTGTTTATCTCAGTTCCCTCAGCCGCAAGGATCTCCATTTATCTCCACAGAAGCTGTAAGGGTTCCCTTGGAAAAGCTTTCAAGGAAAGGTACAACCAACAGAGACACGCCTACTGTGTGTGAAATTGGTAAATTTACAGGCATCACAAGACAGATGTGCACAGCTTCCCCCGAAACAAATGTCAATCACGGCAAGAAGCATACCACAGCCTGCACTTTTTCACGTAGGACTGCTAACTGCTGGGGAGAAGGGACCTGGAGAAATCTAAAAGCCGGCATCAGTGACCACGGTGCACACACTGGGTTCCCAACAGCAACCCTGGCTCACGCCTCCCCCTGGCTCCTGACCCCCCGAAAAGACAGCCACAGAGCAGGTGGGGCAGTGCTTGGAACACCCTGGGAACCATGTTGGATTTCACTGAGCAAGAGGACTGTATCTGACCCAAAGAGCAATTTCAGACAAGAATGTGACATTAGGGGGAAAAAAACGTGTCCTTTCAATTAGCAAACAAATACAAACTAATGTGTAGGGGACAGACACAAATGATTCCACAAGAGGCTCTCAGTGTGAAACACAGCCACCATGGACCTGGACCTCGCTGGGACCGCATTATATTGCAGAGCTAGGAATGACCCCACAGGTTCCCTGGAACAACGGGTTTGCCTCACAGGCTAATGACAAAATTCAGAAAATGCCTCAGGTCACACCACTTGATGACTTGAGATGGGGCCACCTCAACTTGTCCCCTCTCCCTCCCCCTTCCCCGCTCTCTTCTCCACACTGTTTGCACTGTTTGAGAGATTCGCTGCCTCCTTAATCCCTGCGGACACTGAAGCAGACCAAGAAGCTACGAGACTGATGAGGAAACATGATGGAGACAAAGTGCTAGCACTCCTGAGGCTGGTGGCACTCACACCACTGCTCCCCGCTAGGCAGGGTACATGCAGACACAGGAAGAATACGCCGGGTCCCCTCCTTTTAGGCACTGAGCAACTTGAAGCTTTCAAAACACACTTAATGACTTCAACCGCAGGCAGTGATTAACACCTACTATGTGCTGGGCATATTCAAGATGCTTGGGAAAAAATGGTGAGAAAAAAAAAAAGATCTGTGTCAGTATCACTGTCAAATTCCCATTCTAGCAGCAAGAGACAAATAGGAGACATCACAGGAGCCAGTGTTGACACACTGCAGATAAAGTCACCACCTACAACATCAGCACCCCATATGAGAGCCAGTTTGAGTTTTGTCTATTCCACTTTTCATCTAGCTCTCTGCTAATGACCTAAGAATAAAAGCAGAGAAAGGATGGCCCTAAGAGTTTGGGACTCTGTCACCCACAGGGGAGACCAAGACAACACCCCTGGCCTGGTGCTGGCCTTTGCAACCATCTGAGGAATAAACCAGCTCCCAGGACCCTTATCCCAGACTTGAGTTCTAACAACCACAGCAACATCTCTTAAGTGTTTACAGTTAACAACTAATGCAGGGGAAAAAAAAGTTTATACCATTGTATGATCCAAGCAAAAAAATAAAATATACCCATGAGCATGTCACCACTGGTGCTCCTGTACCACCGGATGGATCACTGAAACACTGGCCTACCCCAGCAGGAAGGGTCAGGCTGCCCAGCACTGCCCACAAAGTAAGCTTTCCAGCCGCTTGTGGTTTTTTTATGTTCAAGAACACGCCGGTGTTCACCGTTGAGTCTGGCTGCCAAGTGCAGTGGGCATTTCTAACAGACCCAGCAGGCTGAGGTCCTTGTGGGTGACACTCGGAATAAATATTTAATAATTAGGAAAATTCCTATGGTGCTGGAAACCGTTCAGAGGAAGCCTGCCTAAGATAAGCTCGTTACAGAGCAAGAGAAGCAGAGATCAGAAGTTCTGAGCCAACGGCGACTAATGTCTAAATTCATCACTCTGTAGGTCCAGAAAGTGAGATCAAGCTGAAATGATTTCACAAGCATCCAAGGGAAGGAATGGGGAAATGCCCTCATCAATTCATATAATTACTGACAACTCGCATAATGAGCTTATCCTAGCCCTGTAAATCCACTCAACTGTAGGTTATTAAGGCTCTGCAAGAAGACCACTTGAGGTGTGTGACCTGAGAGAAGAGGGAGGGGCGGAAGGAAGACTGACACGCTGTTTCCTGTGTCCATCCAGAATCAGGTGCTGAGCGCCCAGAGCCGGTTTTACCAGCCCCACCCCTCCCACCACCAACAAGCCAAGAGTGGCCATGATCCCTGTGTCTCCCACGCCCAGCACCCTCTGAGGCTCCATGTGGACACCCCCAGTTGCCCAGGTAAGAAGGACCAAGACCGAACATGCCCACTGCCGCCCGAGCCTTGTGCCTCTCCTCCATCTTTCTATGGGACACACAAGACAACCCGTTACAGCGCTGAGTCCGAACAGCAGGAATTCAGACAACCCTCCCTGCCTCTGCCAACACCAAGAAGTTTGCTGTCCCCCAACACAAAGCTGAGTTTCAAGTGTTCCAGTTCCGTAAGGAAACACAGGCCCTGGAACCCAGTCAGCATCAGAGGGCACAGACAGAGGCCATGAGGTCAGATGCTTTCACTGGCTTGCACCACTCCACTTAAAACCCACCAGCAGACTCCCTGTGCTGTGCTCACAATGGCAGCCAAGGACCCGCTGCCAGCCTCTCGACCCAGCCTAGTCCCCCACACCTCCCTTGTGCCCCCTATGACAGGCCCCGCTTTTCCCAGCACACGCTGAGTCATTTTTTATCATCATCTGAAACTTGGTGATTGATGTGTTTGTTTTCTGGCTGTCTGCTTGCTCTACTGAAGCATGAGGCCTGTGAAGGCAGAAACCCTGTTTTTCTTGGTGCTCCGTTCCCAGCCTGCCCTGAGCGACGAGTGACAGGCCACCCCCAGCTCCACCATGAACAGTGAGAGCTGGTCACACCAGCAGATGGAGGGTAGGGATGGTGGCGTGGGGAGACAGACCTGGGCCTTGCCATGTTCCTGCACCAACTGAAAGCTCAATCAAGATGACTGAGGCAGCTCACATTGTTTTGCTATGAGCATCACCATACCCTACAGGTTCCACTTTTATGTTGTGATTCCTTCTAAGGGCTCCTGGCCTACTTCTCAGAGATAATGAACTTGACTTTGCCTGTAAGTCCACCCTCTCCTTGATAGAGGAGGTAGGAGGGGAAAGCCTTGAGCCCCTGGGTGTGTCAATATCCCCAACTACCTTACTGAATAGACCCTAACTTTTAGTGTCACTTGCAGTTCAAACATTTTCTAATTTTCTGTCACAGCCAAGGACACCTGCCTCCACTGAGGTTTGATCCTCCTGAAAGGTGGAAAAAGATGTTAAAGGAAAGACATGGATTCCTGTCTGAGCAGGGTAGGAGTGCTGCCCAGCTCTACTAGTCGCTTGCTCAGGGACTTTGTCCAGGTTTCTCAGTCTTCCCTGACCCTCAGCCAGTTCCATCCTCCCCACTGGAAGAGTGGGAGGACAGTGCCCTGAGCAACTTATGTCCTGTCACGGTATGTCCTCTCCTTCCCAGAATCTCACTTCACACCTCTAAACACATCTCACCACACTCCTAACAGAACATCCAAGTCTGGGGGAATCTGGGCCACCTTCAGGCTCTCAAACCACCTCCACCCAGGAAAAGCCAGACACTATCTCCCCTCCCACCTCCGCTTCCCAAGAGGCCTTCCCTTTCTTTGCTTTGAGTGTGGAAGGCGGCTGTGCTGCAGCAAAGTGCATGCAGAGTCCACTGAAAAGGCCTTTGTGACCCCTGGTGGGTGGCTGAATGCAGGCCGGGGCTCTGCAGATAGCCCAGATCCATGCCCAGTCTGCAGGTGGACAGGGAGGGTGCGCTGAGGTCACTGGCTGAAAGCCACCATAGGACTGGGCCAGACTGGACTGGGTGAGAGAGACCTAGAGGCGGCAGCCTGGTCTACTTATTCAGACAGCCCCAGCACGCCGCACACCAGCTGCACATGCTGCTGTGTCCCTGTCGCTGACACCCTGTAACAGTGGCACCCACCCCACCGGTGGGTCACAAGGGTTAAATGCACTCACCCTCGGCAGCACTGTCACACACAGTGAGCTAACGGCACTTAGCACATCACGAATACTATGAGACCAGAGGCAGTGGCTGCTGCTCTTTTAAGATGAGCTGTTGTGTTCACAATTATTCGGTTGGTCTTGACAGGTTTTTTTTTTTCTTTTCTTTTCTGATGTTCCTGCGACTGTCAGGTTACAAGGCTATGCAGTTGAGTACTGCTTTCATTCAATCACTCCACATCTATTAAGTGCTTGGTTCAGGCCTAAGTGCTGAGCAAAACAGACAACTGGCCCCTAAGGAACTTACAGTGGTGTGAACATTCAGTTTCACTCAGTTAAGCATTTACCTGGTACCTCCTACACCCCCAAGCAGAGCAAGGCCCTGGCGGGGGGGCGGGGGGAGAGATACAGAAAGGCCAAGTGAGTCAGCTATGGTCCGGAATTGACAAGTCACATCCCAGTGCCTCCACAAAGCTGGTCTGGGGTTGGCAGGTATCCCCACAAGCTTGAAAACCTCCACCTCCTCCCTCAGTTCCCCCACATCTGGAATCACTGCTCCACAGACCGTTGCTTTTTCAAGCTCCCCACTTCACACCCTCATTCTCATGCTCCTGATATCCCACATGCACAGGCACTTCATCAAGGCACTCCGCTGGTTTATTCCAACATCTTCCAGCTGACACATTTCCCCTTATCTAGAAACTCCAACACAGCCCCTGTTGGGGTTTCTAAGGATCTTCCTGTGGTATCATTTGACTTGTTCCCAATGATAATTAATTTTTAAGAACTGATCAAGATGTTAGGGGAAAATCAGCCTGTAGAAATGGATGGCAACATAGGTTGTTCCTGACAAGGAGGCCTTTGTAACATGTTCTGAGCATGCTGGCTGCAGCACACCACGCAGAGACCACCCTCTGATAGCATCTCCTGCATGGATCATCACTGTCGACTTCTATTGTTAGTGTCATTATTCCAAACTACTTGCATTTTGTGCCGCTAGGATAATTGGTCCAGAGCTATGTCTGCATTTTCATGGAGTCAGCAATGCAGTAAGCAGACTCCACTCCCTATAACAGGACAGCTCCAGGCCCATTGCAAAGGGCAGGCAAGCAGGGTGGGCATTGGACGCTGGTGTTCACACCTTCTGAGCCCAAGCTTCAGGTTGGGAAGCAAGTGTGCCCTGCCAACTCAGATGTCACTGCCAGAGACATCCTGTGCATAAAACAGACTGCTCTCCTCAGAGACCCAGACAGAGGAAAGTAATGATGGATTAGGAAGTTGGAGGGGGTGTTTCAGGTGGGAAAGGCAGAAATGTCACCCTGAGAACAACAGGAAGCTCCATAGAGAAGTTCAGCATCGAGGCCCAGAAAGACATGTTTCTCAGCAGCTTGCTTTCGGTACACCTGCTCTGCAGACACAAGTGCCCAGGCTGCTCAGAAGCAGCAGCAGCACAGATTTCAACCAGAGAACTCACCTGGCACCTTCTGAATGGCCAGCCCCCATGCTAGGCCTCACTGAACATATGGCAGAGAGCAGGGCTGGTATGCTTCTGCCCTGCATGTCCAGTGGAGGACACACCAACACACGATGTGGCAAGGTGACGGAGACAGGATGCTGGGTGAGCAGATGCAACAGACACTGACACCCCTCTGGGACAGCCACAAGCTGGGAGCAGACAGACGGATGGTAATCATCGACAGAAGGCAAGTGGGATGAGATGGGCGCACGGCAGGAGGCAGGAGGGGACACGTTCCTTACACCTGCAACAGCAACTAGAAAGGTGACAGGGACGAGAGCAAAGTGGGCCAGATTGGGGGGGAGGGGCTTGGCTTGTGAAGAGCCAGGGTGACAAGGAGCCCCAAAAGGCTTCAGGAACAGAAAAGACAGCACTATCCTCCTGCACAACCAACAGGATGTTCTAGAATGACCTGGTCTCAAATCAAAGTTATCTTAGACTCTGTCCCATTCTGCCATTGCCTTGCTGAGTATTTCTGGATGAATCACTTCTCCCCATGAGACTCACTTCACTATCTGTAAAACAGAACTAACCATAACCAGGCCCCTTTAAGACTCCATACAAATGAGAGCTCCCCAAAGAGCAAGAAGTGAAATACAGAATGACAGGTCTCCAGGACAGACGCCGTACTTGATCCTAAAGCTCTAACCTACTCCAGAAGAAGTCAACTCTATCTAAACCAAAAACCAATGTTGCATGTCCAGCCCAACCCCCTATACTGAAGCACAGGTTGGGCAGCTAACACAGGAGACAAACACACAGGAACGAGAAAAGAAGATGCCCTACTACTCTGATGTGGAGCCCCTGACTTCCAGCTAGGTTCCACAATAAACAATATGCCCTGACTAGAGGAACTTGCAAAAAATAACCCTAGGTCATCAAGATGGAGTGCGTGCAACCATATGCACGGTGCAACCATAGCCTCATTTACCACCTCTCTCACAGTCCCACGGCTCAGACAGAACCTCTAGGTGGCGAGAGCACAGGTTTGTACCCCCAACAGCCCATGTCCCCTCTGTGACAACAGCTGGCTGTAAAGCGGATGCTCACATCTAATTTCTGCAGGCTGGGATGCCTTCTGCCAACCTGAACACTGGGTAGCTCTATGAAAGCCAAGCCAGAGTGAAAGACTTTCTGAGCATCCAGCACAATCCTGAAAAACGAGACCCACTGGAAAAGGCTAAGCCCCTAGGAGCAGGTGTTTCCTGCCTTGCCTCAACTTCCTAGAATTAGTCAATAACTGCATGGATGTGCACCGTGCTTGTAGGAGGGATCCCAGGCAAAGAAAAAGTTTCAAACTGGGAGGAACCACATTACTGGTTCACAGAGAAAGAAACACTGGGGTCACCTGCAAAGGAGCCAAGTATGACGACAGCCTCTCACCTGTGCCCCCAGGGAGGTGGCACCTCAGAGGTGCCACAGCCCTATATGAACCCCTACCAGCTCCCATCACCAACCAACCTACTGAGAGCAAGGACCCACTGCATGTGTGGATCCCTACAGGCCACATTCACTCAGCTGTGACTTTCCCTATGGTTTTTTTTTTTTTAAACACAAATCATCCCTTCACCCCCAAATCCTGCTTCTGAATTGCCTGAAATGAAAATCTGAGTACTTGTGGGTCAAAAAGCCTGTCCTATAGCTGATGGTTCAAGAAGAGACCATCTGTAGGAAAGTTCTGCTTGGGAAATAATTCCTAACTTAGGTCCCAATGATACAAACAAATTAATCCAAGAAGATAAAAATATTAATTCTAATGGATCAGCAGATCTGAATCCTTCCCTTTTCCTCTTGGTCCCTCACCAGTATCTGTAGCCACAGAGCACTCCCCTCCCTACACTCCCCCTGGCCTGGTGAGAGGGGCAAGCTCGCCAGTGTATCCGGGTGGTGAAGACTGTGACCGGACAGCCTGCCCTTTGTCACTAGCCACCCTTCCAAGCTTTGCCTTCTGCCAAGCCATCTGCAGGAAAATGCCAGCGCGTGCTGCAGGGAGAAAATGGATTTGCTAATTTATGTGCTGGGTAAACTCACTTACTCAGTAGAATAATAAAAATGTGACTGTTCACCACCCTTCCTTTCGAGAGTAAGGACATCTTTATTAATGATTTTAAAGCCTGAAGAAACAGAAATGCTTGCTCTCTGTTTACATTTTCCTATATTAAAGGGAAGACTTTCATTCCCTTGCCAGTCGGAAAACACTGAAACCATCCTTCTGGTCATGATTTATTGCTGGAGAAATTTTAACAAATTGGGATGTGACCATGTGTCCACCTACCAGTTACATCACTGGGAAAAGAAAAGAGACATTTGCATTTTTCGCAACTTGTTGAATCAGTTCTCTGGGTTCCTAAAGGGTAGTGCAAAACACCATCCAACACATTGTATTTCAAGTCCTGAGGTTCTGAGTTCTGAATGACGCATACTCTGGTGCTAAACAGAGTCACAGATGATCTCAAGTGTGTGTCCCTGCTTGGCTTACTAGAATGTGCTGTGTCTTTTCTATCAAAACCTGCTCTGTCACACACACTTACTTGTTTCTGAATCCATCCTGAGTCCACGAGTGAGCATTCAATGAGGACCAGGCAAATATCTGAATGTGTGCGTTAACACAGCTATAGGTAAATCAGAACAGAAGACATGGTAGTACTTCTAAGTCTTAGAGGACACAAGCTTTTTGGCAGGCTGAACAAGAAAGGTATTTAGGTATGTGATACATGAAAACAATGATTTCGGAATAATCCCTACACTGTGAAAGAAGGCAGGACACAGCAGGACAACAGTGTTGGGGATTCCTATCATAAAAGGTGTTTCTCTTCACAACGCAAGAATCAGATCCTCTGAGAGGATGGGTGAAGGACAAGAGAACCCCAAGTCATGTGTAGGTACAGCTGCTGAAAAGCCAATGACTAAGCAGTAAACTATGAACCCCACTGGTCCAGGGTGGAGGGGCATGACCCCAGGGTCCAGATGACAACCGGATCTTGCCTTCTCCCTCCCAGGTAGAGAGAATCATACAAACTCCCTGGACACACGGCCACTTATTCATTTGTCTGAACAAGTTCTTCCCCAGGTTCCATGAGTCCAACCACAACCAGCTCTGAGTTAGAAAAACCCCAAGTGTGAAATGTCCAAATGGTCAATTACCCAAATCAACCAAATTATGGTGAGGATTCTCATTTTATTGAATCAGACCTTAGTAGCCATTTAAGGCTTCCAGAATGAAATTACACTGCACTACATCCATTTATTTCCTTGTCAATTCAACTGAATGAACATATATAAGTTGGCAATCTGACCTGTTACCTTGACAACTCTGAGAAATTATATATTCCTGGATCTCCCCACATCTCAGGTTATCTTATTAGTTCAGCAGCCTAAGCAGATTAAAAAACAACACACGCACTAACTCAAAAATCCCAATGATTCCCTAGTCTGAGAAACATAAAGAACATTACATAAGGACATAGCAGCTGCAAAGAACTGCAAATCTATAGTAGAGTCGAGTCTTAAAAGCAGCAGGAAGAAAAGTGAACATAATGTTGGCTCAAACACAAGGCAAGGAACAAACTTCCCCAAAGAAGCAACAGACAGAATGGAAACACCATTAAAGCACTACAAAGAAAAACTGGTCAACCTCAAGTTCTATACCCAGCAAAAATGTCACTCAAAAAATATGCCTGAAATCAAAGTTTTTTCAGACATACTAATGCTGAGAGAAGTGATCACCAATAGATCTGTACCATAAAAACATGAAATCCTTCAGGCAGAAGGAATTTTATACCAGGTGGAAACCTGAATTGACACAATGAAATGCAGAGTTCTGGAAATGATAGCCACTTTTCTTTTCAGTATCGATATTGGTTATATGAAGGGTCTTCAACAAGGTTCATGGACAATGCATCTCGTGAAAAAAAAAGTAGATCTCAATTTCAAAAATGTTGGCACAAAAAATATGAGCTTCCATGAAACTTATTAATTGCCTTCCTCATAGTAATTGCCTGAAAGAA